CATTAGGGTCCATTATCTTTAGAAATTGAGAAGGAAGGTGGGAATGAATCATGGACTAAAGGTCTGCAAAAATCAATTTGTAGTAAACTTAATTTTAATGGTATTTTAAATAATTATTGTGATAAGCTACAACCCATAGATTGGTGCCTTTGTCTGGTAGAGAACTTTGATTGAATAGAACATGGTCTGAGGCTGACTGACAAGTCTGTAGGTGCCAATATAGGTGCTAATAAATCAATTGGACTGACTTGATTCTCTTCTGATAGCAGGGGATATCAGTCTGTAGAGTATGAAAGTCAGAGTGTGATAGGTAGAATATACTTACTGCTCTAATAGCTTAATGCAAGAATATACTTGGGGTCCTCTGATGAGATGCTTCTCTCAGATAAGTGGTAGCAGTTACCATGTCCTTCATACATCCCTCAAATGAAATGATATGATTTATTTCTGCATTTTCTTTTCTTCTTAAAATATTGTTTATTGAATTAAAAAATCATTTTCTTCATTTTCAAAAACATCCCTAGTCACCTTCTACTCAGATAGCCATTCTTTATATGAAATGACAGGGGGGAGTAGAAAGAGGAAAAAAGAGAGAGAGAAAGAGAGAGAGACAGAAAGAGAGAAAGAGAGAGACAGAGAGAGAGAGACAGAGAGAGAGACAGAGAGAGAGAAACAGAGACAGAGAGAGACAGAGACAGAAAGAATATAAAAAATATAGAAAGCAAGGTTAATGTTATGAATAAGATTGTGCTGAAATGGTGTAATTTCAGTGGCTCCAGGAAGGTCTTGCGATATCTTTCCCTTTTTCCCCACATTATCAGGTACAACATTGAGGCAGCAATCTGAGAGTTTAACAATCCAAAACTGATTGCATCATGCATTTTTCTTCTTTTAAGAGCTGAGAGGGAATCACATTGTACTTGTTACCAGTCATTCATTGTTAATGTGGATGTATTTGTCCATAATTTCTTGAAAAAAAATTTGTTTTTCATTTAAGAGAATGTAAGTCAGAGGATGTGTTGAGAGAGAGAAATGCCTCAAATGAAAAAAAAAGAAAGATAAAAAGGAGGAAAGGGAAGGAAAAGGAAAGGAAGAGAAGGAAAAGGAAGTTGAAAGTTATATATGTATGTATATATATATATATGTATGTATGTATGTATGTATATAACATGAAAAGAGAAGAGTTTTTGCCAGGACTTGCATTGTGCAAACATAGTGGTTTAGATGTGTGTATAGTTTGGTAATTAGGTGTTGAAGTAGCCAGGGGGTTGGATATGGAATCGAGGAAGACCTGAGTTCAAATCCAGCCTCAGACACTAATCAGGTATGTGACCCTGAGAAACTCACTTAACTTCTCCCAATATCAGTTTCTTTACCTGTAAAATGGTGATAATAATAGTATCTATCTTTCAGGACACGAAATGAAATAAATGAAAAAATACTTTGAAAACCTTATAGAGCTATGTAAATATTAGTTAATATTTTTACTATTATTTGTTTGTTGAACATATAATAGCTCTCAAAAATACCTCTCTGGGTCATCAACCATGAATTTAATCAAATGTACTTTTAGCATGCATTTACTTCCTTTCACATTCCCTACTATTTTCAAATCTATAACATTGGTTCTTATATATTATACTGATTTATGGTTATAAAGTATTGACTAAAATGTTTTCATCCTCATAGGATCCTATTAGTAAGCAAATGCAACGTAGTTGCTCACAATCTGGAACTTTTATATCTTAGAAACCCTGAGTTCAAATTTTGTATTATAAACTTATTTGTGATACTGTGCAAATCAAATATCTACCATGTTCTTCAGTTTCCTTGTTTGTAAACTAAGTATAACACTTGTAGCACTTAAATCCTGGAAATTATATCTTGTTGTTTATTCTATGTAAAATTTTGTAATTAAAAAATTGGGCATTCCTTAAAGTGCTATTCAAAGGGCAAATGTGATTATATGATTAGTACCTAGTGAAGTGACATAGTAGAGAGAATTATGAGCCTAAAGTCAAGAAGACTCAAGTTCCAGTGAAGCCAGTGGTACTTAATTACTGTGTGTCACCGTGAAAATCACTTATCCTCTATCTGTCTTAGTTGCACAACTGGAAAATGGGTATAATAATAGCACTGCCTTCTTGGGCTGTTGTGAGGATCAAATGAGATAATAATTTAAAGTTCCAGGGGCTAATGGATGTTTATTTTCTTTTTTCTCTTTAATTTCAAGGACAAGAAAATGAATCATTTAAAGGGTAGTCGGCATGCTAGAATTTCCAGTGCTGATAAAGTGCTGACCTTGGTGTTATACAATGTGAGTTGGAACCCCAGATTAGCTACTTGAGTAAAATTGGGGCAATAAGTCTTCTTTTCTTGTACTATTATTTTTCATTCATAAAATGACTGGTTTGGATTAGGTGGCATCTAAGTTACTGTTTGATTCTTAATTTATGATCATGTGACTCAAACTCAAGTTTTGTCATCTTGTAATAAAGTAAAGAGGAAAATTGTCTAGACCAAAATCATCTCCTCACTCTTATTACTGTTCCCAATTTGGTAAACTTACTTGTCAGTTGCTGTTACCCCTGCGTCCAGAAATGTTTGGACTGGAAAGAGTTTAAATTCATATTAACATAATGTTCAAAGTGATTTAAATTCATTATTTAATTTCAGTCTCATGACAATGCTATAAATTAGACATCAGAGACATCACTATATTTATGTGTGTAGGTATGTCACATTTGTATGTCTATAGATGTATGTTTGTGTCTATATTCTCCCTTTATCTCCTCTCTTCTCTTCCCTTCTGCTTTTCCACCCTCCCCTATTCTCCCCTTTCCTCTCCTTATCTTTCCCCTTTTCTTTCAAAATCATATTGATATTGCCAGTGTTCTTTAAGAACTTTTTATTCCAAGGATTATTGAATGAAACATTAAACATACATTTGATATTGTCCTTTGGGGAAATAAAAATGAGATTTTCAAAGATAAGCAAGAGCAATGGAAGAGAAACACAAATATTCTCTCCTTGTTTTAAAATGAAAAAAGGGGGAAAATGTGGAATATTGGGTGCAAGTAACAGTAATTAATGAGTACACTGATTGCAGTAACTAGAATCTGTCCTAGTCCCTAGAGGCATTGGAGTGTGGTCGATTGAGCAGTTGACATGGGGTGAGGAGGAAAAAGCATCCCTTCATTCTTTCCTCTGATATTCATTATATTAGTGACCTTCAATGAGTCATGTAACCTCTTTTAACTTTCCCTGCCTCAACAGTAAATTTGGCAATAATCAAACCTGGAAAGGCTATGCCACACAATTTTATGGGGTCATATAACAATGTACGTACTGTTCTTTTGAATCATTAGTTATATGTCAAATATCATATTTTTTTCATATTCAACATTTTTTACGAACAAGTTGGATGAAGCCATAGATGTTAGATTTATCATTTTTGTAAATGGATGAGACAACTAACATATTGGATGACTGTCAGTATACAAATCAACTTTGACAGGTTATCATCATTGGTCTTGACAACATATCATTTAATAGGGGTGAATATAAAAACCTATATTTTGTTTGAACCATTCATCAGCACCAATATAAGATACAGGAGCCATACCCACACAATAAAAAATGTGAAACTAATTTAGCGGCCAAATCTAGTCCGGATGATTTTGGGCAAGTGAATTTGCCTCCCTGGATTTCAATTCCCTTCTCTACAAAATAAGGTGATTGCCCTTGATAACTTTTAATGTCTCCACTAGAATTTAATCCATGATATGTTAAACTATGTGCTTAACAGAAGTCAACAATCTGACATGGCACTAAACATTTCAATGGGACCTTGGGCTGTGTTTGAGTCCTGGTGCTCAGAATTAGAGAGATGATGATTCCAATGAATTCTTCCCTTGTTGACTCACATATGGATCTGTGCTAAGTTTGGGTAACATATAGAGAAGGACATTGATGATCTCTAGCATATTCGGAGAGGGGGAACCAGGAAGGTAAGTTTTGAAAGTCATGCCATGGAAAATAGAAAGCTGATAGGTAATATAAGAGTTATTATCAATTATTGGTAGGGCTGTCACTCACATGAGAGAGAGAGGGAAAAAAAGACAGAGAGAGGTCAGAAATTATAATATTTGATCTCATGGTAAAGAACTAGTGACAATTTTTGTAGAATACTGAGAAGCAAATATAAACCTCCTATCGGGAAAAATCTTTTAAAAACTTTAAGCTGCTCTAAAGTATAATAGAAATGCAAAGACATTTTCTTCTTTATTGGTTGCATTAAATTGGAGGCTGGATGATTATTTATGAGGGAAGGTGTAAAACGTATTCCTTTTTAGTTAAGAGTTGACAAAAACATCTTATGAGTTCCCTTCAATATTTGAGATTCTAAGAAAGGAATTACTGAATCAGAACAATCTAGGTCTGCGTTGTTTCCAGCAGATTAGTATGTATATTGGGAGATTATAGTAATTATTCCCCAAGATGTTAACCCTGGAAAGTTAGGCATGATTAGAGTCTGAGTTTTTGGATAACACACACACACACACACACACACACACACACACACACACACACTGAGTAAAATGGCAAAATAAAATAAAATTATCAAATGAATCTGTGAACTCATAATTCTATCCAATGGCATTGATTTCAACCCACCTACACTTATCTATTCATGTGTTCCTGTAAGTTTACACATGTTGCTATATCTGCACAGAGGAGAGTACAATAATTTCTCTCTCACACACAAATGCCATGAGCAAGAAATATGTTAGATGAATTGGAGCAGATTATGGGCACACTTTGTATTTAAAGTCTCCTATCTAAGACTGAAAATAGGACTAATAGAAGCTTACCTCAAGCAAGAATCAAGCAGTGTTTCTTTTATGGAGATCTCTCAAATTCTGCTCTATTAATTCTTCTTTATTCTTTTGTCATATTTACTAGTTCTCACCAGTGTCCTTCCCACTTGAGTCCTAGAGATGAGAAACAATGTGACTGAATTCATTCTGCTTGGACTGACTCAGGACCCAGAGAAGCAGAAAATTTTATTTGTCATTTTCTTGGTGTTCTACACTGCCACTGTGTTGGGGAACCTATTAATCCTTGTGACAATCAAGACCAGTCCCACACTTGCTTCCCCTATGTACTTTTTCTTAACCTACTTATCCATTGCAGATTCTTGTTTCTCTACCACTACGGCTCCCAAACTGATTGTGGACAACCTCTCTCACAAGAATACTATTTCCTTTGATGAGTGCATGATCCAACTATTTGCCCTGCATTTCTTTGGCTCCGTGGAGATAATGGTGCTTGTTGTAATGGCCTATGACCGCTTTGTGGCCATTTGTAAACCTCTACACTACTCAGTCATCATGAACCAGAGGGTGTGTGGGATCCTGATTCTATTGGCATGGGTAGGGTCATTTCTGCATGCTATTGCCCAGGTAATCCCCATCTTGACTGTGCCCTTCTGTGGTCCCAATGTGATTGACCACTATTTCTGTGACTTACAACCTTTGTTGAGGCTGGGATGCATGGACACATATGTACTAAACCTCTTAGTAGTTTCCAATAGCGGAGCCGTATGCTCAGTAAGCTTTGTTTTGCTGATGATATCCTACTCAACTATACTGCACTCCCTGAGAAATCATAGTGCAGAGGGGAAGCGCAAAGCCCTCTCCACCTGCAGTTCCCACATCATTGTTGTCATAATATTCTTTGGTCCCTGCATATTCATATACACTCGACCCCCAACCACATTCCCTCTTGATAAGTTGGTGTCTGTCTTCTATACCATTATAACTCCCTTCCTCAATCCTTTGATCTATACCCTAAGGAATGCAGAAGTAAAAAATGCCGTGAAGAAAATCATAAAGCGCTCCTGTTGTTCATATGATCTGAAGATATATTGAAGGACATTTCATAATCAATAATGCCGCATTGTATGTAAATGTCATTCAGGTTGACATATTTTAATAAGCTTTTGAACATGTTCTTTAACATTGATTAAAGATTCTTCTTTCTCTTTTCTGCGATACTCAGTGATTAATAAGGCACTTAGGCCCTTTAAAAATGGAAAATCAGAGTCATGTGACTGAGTTCATTTCACAGAATCCAAATATTCAGAAAATGACATTTGTTATACTCTTAGTTTTCTACCTTGCAACTGCTGGGGGGAATTTGTTTATTGTTGTGACCATCATCTGCACCCCTTCTCTTTTGGGTTCCCCTATGTACTTCTTCCTAGCCTTTCTGTCTCTCCTGGATGCTTGCTTCTCCTCTGTCATTGTTCATAAAGTTAACAGAGACTCTCTCTATGAAAGAAAAAACATATCCTTCCAAAACTGTATGGGTCAGATTTTTGCACAACATTTCTTATCTGTTTTTGAGGTGATTGTCCTCGCATCCATAGCTTTTGACAGGTATGTGGCTATCTGTAAGCCTCTGCACTATGTAACAATCATGAGTAGGCCCCTGTGTTTGTTGCTGGTAGGAGTAGCCTGGGCTGGGGGCTTATTGCATTCCATGATTCAGATTTTCTTCATGCTTCCCTTACCCTTTTGTGGCCCCAGTGTAATCGATCACTTTATGTGTGACTTGTACCTTTTATTGGAACTTGCTTGTACTGAAACCCATATGCTTGGTCTGATGGCTGTGGCCAACAGAGGCTTAATCTGTATCATCAACTTTTCGCTCTTGCTTGTCTCTTATGCATTATGCTGCTCTCTGTAAGGATGCATAGCTCAGCAGCACGTCACAAAGCCCTTTCTACCTGTGGCTCCCAAATCACAGTTGTTGTCTTATTTTTCGTACCATGTATATTTGAATATACAATGCCTCCCACTATTTTCTCTTTTGATAAAATGGTGGCAATATTTTATACCTTTCTAAGTCCTTTATTAAATCCATTGATCTATACATTTGGAAATACATAAATGAAGAATGCTGTGAAGAAATTGTGGAGCAAAACAGTGATTAGTGTTGAAAAATAAATAATTTAAGGAATCTTTTAAAAGATAAATTAGATGTCTCATCTTCACTTTTTTCTGCACAACCTCAAAACAAAGTCAAAAAAAGATAATATAAGGATTATATGTCTTGCTGAGAAAAATATTTTAAGGCTATTTTTTCATAATTTACACCGAAGATATGTTTAGCAGTATAGGTAGCAAAAGGCACAGCCACACCGTGTTAATGCATAGAACACTGATAGAGAGAAATCTTAACTTTGTTACCAAGAAGCATTTGGTTCACACTTCACAGATGTAACTTAAAAATATAAAAACAAATATTACAGTGATAGAAAGAGAATAAACTTCTCAAATCAAGGGAAATCATTCAGCCAAGAGAAAAAAAAAAGGTTACTATTCATTTGTGAGAAATTAAATAGTTACAATATATTATTCTAAAAAAGTTTTTTAAAGGTGGATTTGGACATACATATAACATCCTGCAATGTAGAATTTAAGTATTAACAAAAAAAGATTTAAAAAAAGGGAAGTATTTTAATCATTTTTTTAGAAGACTTAATATGTGAGTGCTATAAAGATGATCCCAGATTCAGTTCCGAAGATTGGTGTCTCAAAGACTTTTTATTAAAGCAGTTGAAGTGCGCCATTTCGATTCTCAGGAGAAGCAGGTGCACTTCCTTGAGAGGAGAGAAAATGCATGTGGTAAAAGAAGCCAGAGCAATCTTTATAGTTAGTAATTGCCTAACTCCTCCCTTCTGGATCAGGATTGGTCCTAATCCTTCTGGGTTACAATCTTCCTCATATGCCCCACCCCTAACATACATAATGTGCCTAGAATTGTGTTTATCACTCCCCCCTTGGACAGAGAAGTTAGCCTGTCTGTGCTGATTTCTTATCTACTTAGGTGGAAAGTTAACTCTTTCATTTCTCACAGTGAGTAAGACCTGTTATTGGAGTAACAGCAGCAAAGTCCTATTTTTCCGCCATAGCAGTGAGGCCCCATCCTTTCCCTATATGTTGATCAGGCAACCCTCTTGCTTATATTCTTAGCCCTTTCCCCAACATGCTGCACAGACAACTGCCTCCCCCAATTGTAGAATAGGCAGCCTCACCACTGTGTAGCAACCTTTTGGTCTAGGGATCCTCAGCCCATCCTATCACAAGCCACCTTGTGGTCAGGGGGCTTTCCCAAAACCACACAAGTGCAATAAGACTCCTCAATGCCGAAGAGTAACTTATGTGATATCATGCGATATGTGATAACAAAGTTTACATCATAAGATGTAAATGGTTACATCTTATGAATATGGTAATGAAGGGACTCTAAAGAGTGAAAGTTTGGCTATTTCAAGATGCCCACAGGGAAGACCCAGTGCAGCCCAGGCACAAGCTTTTATTTTTATTTTTCTTTTTGCTTACATAGCACAAAGTTTATGCCATAGTCAATTTCCATAAGTTACTCCCCCTTCAGCTCTGATATAACCAAGTCCTCATTCCCCCTTCACACAAACAACCAGTATCCTGAGCTGCTTGGTTCTGATTGCTTTTATGACAATAAAGCCCTGCTTTGAAGAACTCTGGCCTTGGTATTCTTACCTACTTCTTACCTACAGCTCTCCCACTGCACAAAAGGGGGATTATTTAAATACATAAATAACAATAACAAGAAAAACACATTAGAAAATCAAATGGGCTTAGATTCTTATAATCCAGCCACAGCTCAGATTCCTAAAATCTAGTTACTGCTCAGATTTTTATAATCTAACCACTGCTCAGATACTTCTAATCTAGCCAATAGCTTACTAATGTTCAGACTCCTTAAGAGTCTACCCAATATGATGGATGTTCTAATACACCTTGTCTTTGGCTGGAAAAAAAAAAAAAGATCAAATGCATTCAGTGACCATGAAAAAAAAAAAACAACTCTCATTAAAATGCCTAAGGACAAATGATGTGATGTAATATAATAAAAAACAAAAAAAATTAATTAACATTTTGAGAGATGAGATAATGAAATACGATGAGAAAGAAATAAGAAAACATTTCTTAGACCAGAGGATATTATAGTGTGTCACTGGGAAATACTACCACCTTCTAAGATTCAAAACAAGAGATGAATTCTGGTTTTTTTTGGTTTGTTTCTGTTGTTAATCTTTCCTCATTTCTTAGCTTCTCTGAGAGATTAGGAAGAGAGCGTAGTTATCTGGAATGGGAATATCATGTGAATTTCTATCCTGTATGAATTCTACAGAAAGAATGAGCAAAAGGTTCATTCATTCAAAATAATTTGGTCTCATAATGTAATAATGAATAAGATTTTAGATTAGATGGGGAATGAAGTAAGGTAAGGGTGAATTAAATCAATTTATTTTAATAGGGCACTGAAAATAAATGTCATTCAAATTAATTGGTGAGAAGTTGAGAGAGATAGAGATACAGAGACAAGCAGAGACAGAGAGACAGAGATAGAGGCAGAAACACAGAAAGATAGAGAGACAGAGAGACAGAAAAAGAGACAGAGACAAAGAGAGAGGCAGACATATGATGGACCCCTTTGGTCATCTAGTAAAACATATGGAAATTCTTTTCAAGTGTCTGAGATAAAACTTTTCATTGAATAATGTTTTATATGCATCAAATACATAAAAACATAGATTTACAAAAGAAACTAATTATATTTAAACACGATTATGAAAATAATATTTAAAGGATGTTCACAGATCCAAGTTTATGGAGAACTGAAACAGAATTATTTCCTATTCTGGGCATCACAGTTAAGAAATCATTAAAATAATATGTAACATTCATATAGAGCTGTAAAATTTTCAAAGTCCTTTACATATATTATATTATGTGAGGATCACAACAACACACAGAGACAGGTGTTATTATTATCCCCATTTTATGAATCCCAAAACCGAGGTACAGAGAGGTAAAGTGATTTGAGCAGAGTGATACAGCTAGTGCATTTCGAAAATACAACCTCTTACAGGAGAGCTTCCATGGTAAACCCAATTATTAGTGCTCTCAATACATACACACACACATACACATATATGCACACATACTTCGTACATACACACAAATAGATGTGTCTGTGTGTACATGTTTTTTTTTTTCAAGTAGAATGTAAATTTTGTGAGATAAAAGGCTGTTCCTTAATTTGTATTTATGTACACAGGGCCTAACAAATTTCCTGGCTGGTTGTAGGTGATTAACTTTTTTAAAAAAATTAAAATCAATTAAAAGAAATTTTATGGACTGTGATACTTCGTAATGCAAGTGTTTGGGAGTGGGAGGACAATTCATTGCTGGCAGAGATGTGAATTGTCTCATTCTGGAAAAGTATTTGGATCACATGAGATGAGGCATGTAAAATTCTTTGCAATCTTTAATTGGCTATAGAAATTCTTAGTGGTGTTCTTATTGGTATATCATAATAGTCACAAAAATTTACAAACTTCATAACACAATGGATTGATAAATTTTATAAGGAAAGATCTTCCATGACCCCTGTATGACTCTAAACAATGAACTATAAGCCAGAGTGTGGTTATCTATGTTGACCTGAGAATTTAGTCAGTTCTCAGGAAAAGATGTGCTCTGGAAACCCAGCCAGTTCATTGGAACACATCAAGTTAAATAATATTCTAAGATGTTTTGCTTCCTCCAGGAACTTGGCCAGTTGCTGGACAGAGGAAAACATCTACTAGAATCATGGACACCTGTGGCACAGGGCCTTCTTTGTCAGAGGCCCTATTTAAATCTTAATTGGGAAAGCCATCTTTGGATTCTCACCCATATAAAGGCTGCTCTGCTTGGGAATTTCCCAATCGGGACCCTGAAAGCTGTATCCCAACAATCTCCAGCTCGGACTTCAAGTGTTGGTGCTTCCCAAATTGGTAATGTTTTCTTACATCATTGCTATCCTTTGTATTCTT